TAATATATATATATATATATATATATATATATATATATATATATATATATATATATATATCTGTAATTACATTCTCTTTTGGTCAAGTGTGTGACAGCGTTTTAAGGTCGCATTTAACAGACTTCACGATCGGTCATAAAAACACAAAGAGCTTAAGAATAAAATAATATCGTTTACTATTATTTGTCTACGTCGTTGTCTCACTTTGAGCGTTACTAAAGTAATTACTACAAATTAATAATGCTGGTCAAAAGGCCTACTAATATAAATAAATGCCATTAGTATTATCATCAATATTATTATTTCTGTTGTATCCAAACGCACACAGCCACAGGCGCAAACACAAACACACGCACACAGGCACACACACACAAACACACGCGCGCACACACAGAGACACGGGCGCACACACAAACACACGAGCACAAACACCTGCGCGCAATTAAAAACAGACGCGCGCGCACGCACATACACACACACGCACCACACACACACACATATGTATATATATATATATATATATATATATATATATATATGAGGCATGGTGGATAGCGGCTCGGATTAAGGAGTCAGAGAACCGACTTCGAATTCTAGTCGCATCCATTGCATTCACTTGTGCTAATACCCTTGGAAAAGGTAATAGTCATATTCTTCATCCACCAGCTATGGGTAAATAGCAGGACAGACTGGGTTCTGTAAACTTGGATGTCAAGAAGTCTAGGAGAGGGCCAACTCTGAATTCAAAACCTGCGGAAGGTTGTTTGGGGACCTTGTTACACGTAGTGCACCATATCTCTGTATTCGGCCCTTCGAATAGTGTGGTTGGATCTGCACAGAGCCTTCACCACGATAATCAGTTCATATGTGCTGGTGTCCGTTCCAGAGAGACTGAACAGTTCGACCTCGTACATTCACCATATATATATATATATATATATATATATATATATATATATATATATATATATATATATATATATATCACCCCACAATTTGCAAGATCCCTTAAGAAATATTCTGGTCGAAAAGTCTAAAATTCTATATAAACCACATTACCTGTAGAATATCGCTGTAAGAGAGACGCCATATAGTAAACATATCTTTTCACTATAAACCTCACCCTATTTAACATTGGCAACGATGTATCGATTTTTTTTTTTTTTATTAGAAAGACGCTTACTCAGAATACAGCAACGCAGGTTCGGAATAAACGCTCCTACTTGTATTCAAAATAACACAAAAAATCCATCTTAAACAGTCAAACATTAACAACACCCAAAACACAAACAACTTAAAAATAGCTATAGAAACGTCCGAAAGCCCTTTAGACAATGGACAATATGAACAATTTTTGTCCTACCTTACTCTCATCAAACAAAAAAATGTAAGAACGCTGGAAAAACTAAATAAAGAATAATTAAATTTTACTCTTGTTATATTTAACGAAATATATTTAAAAAAAAAGGGTACTGCCCAAATATGCATTAATATATACATATATATATATATATATATATATATATATATATATATATATATATATATATATATATATATATGCGTTTTATTTCGAGGTGTTTCCATTTTTGAGCATTCTTGTATGTCATAAGAAAATATGGTGTAAGCTAGGAGCTGGTCCAGTCTGTGACTGATTTGCAACGCCTACATTGGTTATCGAATGCGATCATAGAACGGCAGGTTTTGTTTCAATACTTGCATGGGTAACATGAGACTGACTGACTAGTTGCTGGTGCTGCATTCTACTATTTGGGCTTATTTCTTTTCTTCCTCTGTCTTCTCGCACCTGAATATCAGCTTTGTCAGGAATCCTCCAGTTGCTGTGATTCTCTGTGTTGATTTTTCAGATAATCGTGTTAATGCCGCCGGCCATTTCTTTTCCCAAAGTATTTGTATCGAAGAACTGATCTTCCAGCAAGTTTGGCCAGTGGACAGTTTTCCGTATACAACATCCTCTTTTCCGGCATCCGGCTGACATGGCCTACAGATTGCTAGTGCCTTTGGTAAATCAAGTGAACACTGTAAGCAATCCAATCCATACATTCAGAATGCTAGAATCACCCACTCTTTCGTTAAGGCACTGATAAGCAATTTTATTTCTTCTTCCTATTTTTTTATATATATATATATATATATATATATATATATATATATATATATATATATATATCAGAATATGACGTGAAAAGTATTTAATATTAAACTAATTTAAAACATTAACAATCACAGTAATAATAACAGAGATTACAAAACTCGGAACATTCACGTAAGGAGGATAATATTTGTGACTATACAATAATAGTAGTATTATAATTGTGCATGGCACTCCAGTTGTTAGTTACCACGACCGTTATGTCTTGCAAATATCTCATAAATAATGGACTATTCCGCGTTTCGTTCTTCTCGAAAGATGCAAAAGGATATTACTTGGTTTCAGTGAGAAAATAAATGAAAGAAGAAAGAAAGAAGCAAAGGTATATGCGGAGAGAGAGAATCAGATTAAGCTGATGGGAAGAGATACTACACTTTGATCTCAGCCAAATAGCCGAGAAGCGATTGTATTTACTGGAGCGCCCACGTCACACTGGAAATGGCCGAGTTTAAAGTAGATTAAAGAGCTTTACCACAGAAAAAATTTGGTGACTCCCTAGGCTCCTGGACAACTGAACCCAGTCCCTTTCTGAAGGAGAGGAAATTCCTGGGAAATGCCTCCACATGGAGTTTGGTTTAATATTAATTAGTACCATTCCCATCCAAAAGGCCGAGAAATGATAGCGACCTCAATGAAACGCCATTTTTAAGATGCAAAATATCGGAGGATGGAAACTGAGTAAGCCCCCCCACCCCCATTAAAAAAGCTGTTACCATAAATAAAATAACATTGACTGCTTAATTATTTCTCAGTTATTATTGAGAAAAATATTCTTAAAAAAGTGATTTAACTAAAAAGAAAGAAAGAAAGAAAGTGTTATAATGGTACACACCTAGTCTATTGTTAATAGACTCTCCCACCTATAATAAGTAG